GGAACAAGGTCATAGTAATAAAATACTCAAAGGCTTAAAGTCTTTTGCTCAGTTTGGTAAATTAATACACAATTTCATCTTGGAAGAGTTACAAGTTATGCCATGAAGTGTAAACATGACTAGAACATATTCTAAAATCTCTGAAGATACAGTTTTTAAAACCAGCCGCATCACTGAAGAGCCTACATCAACACGGCCATGACTCACAAAAACTGCAGTTTGCAGGTTGTTCAACAGTATAAGACCTCTCCTCTCTGTGGCTAGGCTGTTTAGAGTCTCCTCCCCCAGCAGTTGTTTACTCCTTTACTACTGGGGATGGGCAAGTTGAGCCTCTCCCAAGTTTCTATTTTCTCAGACCTGTGACCTTCTGTTTACCTCTGGAGGCTCATATCATCAGCCCCCTCCCTTCTGGAGAGGATGTTTCAATTCAGAATCAACTTCCATATAGTAGGAAGGGATAAACTCCCCTTTGTAAAGGTGAAGGAGAAATAAAATGTTTCATTCTTTCACCCATTTCATCCATTAATAAAGAACACCACCATAGTTATTGGCAGTGTTATTTTAATTAGACAAGTAAATTAAAATCTGCATGTAGCCTGGCTTTGGAAAATGAATCACATTATCTCTCAGCAGCCTCCTAGTCTGCTGTAGCCAGGAGCAATGTTGAGGACATGTTGTCTGATTTTGTATTACTTGAGGGTTAGAAACTCCTAAAACCTCCTATTTGGGGGACCCATAAATATCCCACTACATTGGCTCATGTGTAGGTGCCTCAGGAGGCAAACTACCCATTATCATGACTGGCACTATAGGGAACTGGTATTGTGGCATGAGGGGAATGGCAGGTGCAGCCCCTCAAGAACCCAGGCTTGTCTAGTCTTGTGAGATTTTGCACCAGTGCCAGGGTAGAAGACAGTCACCCATATGGCCCACCTCCTTCTGACCTTACCAGGGATATAATGTAGTCCAGAAAGAGATGTTCCATTGTTGGTGTCTAAGGGTGCTCTCAACTCTTGAATGTTCCCCTCATTCTTTCTCATTTTTTTCTGCCTAAATGTGATATTTTTAAAAATGTGTTGTTATAGTGGACAAACATCTGCTTTTAGCTGCTCAGTATTAATTCTTCTTCCTTATAAATGACCTCAGAGTTTTTCAATGCCCATATCCATTCAATTAACTTAATGTTTTCTAAAATGCATTTTGCAATTACGTTCACATTTCTAAACCTAAATGTTTGATATTTCATAAACTACTTTAAGAAAGTATAATTTTTTAAACATTCAATACCTAAAATGATGCTGTTACCCTAAGAGCCTTCAGGCAGCAGCTAGATTTTGGAGTTTCAAGTTTCTGCACAACTTTTGGAGTCCTTGGTCATCTTAAGTCAGGAAACAGTCTCCATAAATCTCCATGATCAGAACCATTTGTACTAAAAACAGTACAAGCATCAAAAAAACACATGATGTTAAACCTTCTTGTCAAAGTACACATTGATACTATCAGCTCAATAGTCAAACAGATGCCTTGGGTGTCACTAATTTTTCTCAATAATAATTTAAGACTACAAAATAGACACAGTTCAAAAATTATTTTACCAGATCAACATGATTATAATTCATAAAGACAGTCACAATGTGGAAAATTTTAACTCTTCAAGTATTGAACATTTCAAAGTTATTGTAAAACATAACAAATTCTGAAAGTCAAACCAATGTTTTTATTCTCCTCATGACTAATAAATTATGAACCACAGCCAAAATATAAACCATAACTAGACTGTGGCAAATGCAGCATTGTCTTAGTTCAAAAGAGTTCTATTATTTATCAAATTGATAATCATAGACATTTAACTTAAATACCTACTTAGGCAAACAAAGACTCTGCCACCTTTAAAAGCTGTTTCTAGTCTATTCTGTTTTAAAAAGCATCCCATATCCTTTAATAATATTAATATATCACAAAATTACTTTCTTCATAGAACAAAAATGAACATTTTAAAGCTTGTAAAATGACTAATTCTTAATGTTGTCAAATTAAGTTAAGCAATTTAATGCAATTACAAAATGTACTGACTTCGTAAAAAATTATTGCAATTAAAGAAACAGTTTCACTGTCTTTTATAACACACATAAATAGCTTGTTTTAAGCCAAGTTATTTGGGGAGGTTGGCTTTTTTTTCTCACTCACAATTCTGGTAGATGTTCTTGAAGGCATAGTTAAATCCAAGATTTTGTACATAGTTAGAATTCATCCAAATTAAATAAGAGCAATTGCTATTATAAAATTGGATCTTGTCCCATCTCCATGTTTAAGCTCATCTTGTTAAAGAACTATACATGGCTATTTTGCTTTATAGCCAGCCACTGCTGTGTGTGCTAAGGGTATCTCTCATCACATGTCAAGCTGATCTGATTTCAGATTTGCCCATTGCCTGCATAGGCCTTTACCAAACTTGCAAATGAAAATACAAGTATTAGAATTTGAAATTGCTAGGAGCTCAGAGGGTTAGGAGATGATGTTTGGCCCTGTAATAAATGATATTATACTGTTATCGCATTAAACTGAAGAAATAAGGAATGAAAAACAAAACGACTTGAATAATATTACTCATTGAAATACTGTGATTATCATGTTTGGCTCTGTAACAATTTTTTCATAAAAATTGAGGTTATTATTCCAAGAAATAGCTCATGGGTATAGGTGCTTGTGACCCGAGGTCCATCCCTGAGTTCCATGTGGTTGAAGGAGAGAAATATCTCGTTCAGATTGTCCTATGACATCCATGCATGTGCATGTGTGCACATGCACAGGCAAACACAGACAAGTAAATAAGCAGTTAATTAATTTGATTTTTAACTGAGGTTATTAATTTGCCCTTAAGTAAGTAAGTTTTTATCCATAAAGGCTTGCAGTTAAAGGGAACATGTCAAGCATGGACATGAACAATAATATATACTTGATGTGATTGAAATGAAAGCAGGTAATAAGTGAAATGAAATGCAGCAGGTGGGTACATAGGTAGGTTGGAACTGGAGAGGAAAGGGAGGGCTAGATTTTACAGAGCCAACACAGGATCTATAGTCATTAAAAGGTGAGAAGCAGAAAACCGCTATGATTGGATTCACTTCTTTCTTTACTTTGTGTATACATATGTGTTTGTCATATGTGGTATGAGTTGATGTGGTACGAGCACATGTGCATGTGGAAGTCTGTGGGAGCCAAAGGTTGACATCCAGTATCTTTCTCCATCACTCTCCATTTTATTTTTTGACAGCGTCTGTCACCAAACCGGGAGCTCGCTAATTCCACAAGACTGGCTGGCCAGTGAGTTTAAGAGATCAGCCTGTCTCTATCCCCTGCATGGGCACTGGGAATTGAACTCAGGTTTTATTGCTTGCACAGCAGATACTTGACTGATGAACCTTCTTCCCAACCCTAGAGTTTGCATTTTATAAAGACACTCTGACAGCACCAGAGAGGGTTGTCAGCAGAGTGTTGCCATACTTAGGGAAGAGAAAAATGATGGGTCAGTCAGTTAGCAGAGACTGCAATGAAGGAAAGGAGAGTCAACTAGAAGTATTTAGATAAAATGTGGATATAGAGAAATGATAGTTATCAACTATTCCATAAAATTTATCCCCCAACGTAGCTATTTGCAATGCTTAACATATAGACTCTACAGATAAGGGTCAGTCAAAGAGCTGTTGTCAATGCTGACTGAAGATGGTCTGAATTACAAAAATGGGCTCTGTGGCTGGATTTAGCGTCGTCTGGGAGACAGGCCTGGCTCTGAGGGTGTGTCCAGAGAAGTCTGATTAAGAAAGATGCCCCCTGAACACATGTGGCACCATCCCAGGGGCTGGGATCCTAGACTGAATAAAATGGAGAAAGTGATGTGAATCAGTATTTATCTCTCTGCCTTCTGATTGTCGATGCAGTGTGATCCACCACCTCATGTTTCTGCCACCATGCCTGCCTTGCCATATTGGACTATATCCTCTCAAACTGAGAGCCAAAAAAAATTTTTTTTCCTTCCTTGAGTTGAATATTTTGTCACAGTAACGAAAACAGTGACTAATGTAGGCTTTGTCTGTCATAACCTGTCTTCTCATTAGAGACTACAAAAACGACACACTGAGGACAGGGCAGGCACTGTGACTATGTAGATAGGACTGTCAAGCTGAAGCTAAGAAATGACAATTCTCAAAAGGATTCTCCTCAAGCCTCCACACAGAGTTTACCCTGATGACAATCCAAATTTGTACTTCCAACTTTCTGAACTACAAGAGAATAAATTTCATTTTCAAGCCACTTTTGTGATAACTTATTATGATACCAACAGCAAACTACTCTTCCAGGGCTGTGTTCATGGCATTCAGCCCAAGTTCTGATGGTTTTTCCATTCATTTAATTACTGCCTTCCTCACCGGGGTGCAGGCAAGACCTTTTCCATGGCTAGCCTCTCAGCACGATATCTGGAGCACTTAAGACAGCACTTACCTCAGTGTACATTTGAGTAAAGAAGCCTTAGCCTTTGAAAGGGTTCAATGACCTTGCATAAACATCCGCATTTCCTGGAGCCTTCCCAAACTAATCTTTTGTTATTTCTCAAATACCCAAGTATGGGAGTGTATGAACCAGAGACCACGTGACCAAACAGTCACCAGTTTACAACACGTAGACCCAGTGTGAAGCTATAAGACCTGAGTTACAGCCTGGGGTAACCTTTTGTGGTTTTGACTGATGGTTACAAACTGCCTCAGGTGGAGAAGCCCCTTGGTTGCCTGGGCAACGCCTCAGCCCAGCTGGAGGTAAAGCACCCGAAGGGCTCAGTGCGCAGGCGCCTGGGGAGCCAATGGGTGTAGCGGCTGCGCGTCTCCCTCCCGCGGGCGCGGGCGGTTGTGTGCCGGGGCGGCGGCGGGGCGGTCACGTAGGTTACGCACAGTCACTCCGCTGCGAGCCCGCACTCTGCGCCGTCCCCTGCCGCGGCGCCCCGAGCGAGCGGGCCCTTGATGGCGCGGGTCGGCGGCCGGAGGCGCCGCTGACGGCAGGCGCGAGGCACCGAGGAGAGCCCGGGCCGGCCCTTCCCGCCCACCTCCGCCGGCAGACTGTGCCCCAACCCCGGGCCCTCTGCGGGAATGTTCAAAAATGAGTACCAGGTAACCCAAAAGGACTTCCTCGCCGGGGTGAGCTGGCTCGCCTTCGGGGTCGTGAAGCCTCCACTCCCGGGGTGAAAAATAATAAGTGACTAAGTCGTCTTGATCGTAAGCTGTTCTTGCTCCCGCCCAGTGCTTTTTAGTGCAGAATCGGTGGATCTGATTACAGAGCAGGTCATGACCCCCCCCCCCCCCACCCGCCACTCCAGACACCCGGAATTGGAATTTGAGCACAGGACCCAGAAATCCTGAGTTTTAACAAGCACCTGGGGCTTTCACTGTTGATCTCCTCTGGTACCTTAGAAGCTATTTAGAGGAGTTAATGAATGGATTCTTTTAAACCCAGGATTAAAATCAGCACTTGGGGTGTGTGCTGTTTTCTTTTTCCTATGACTCTTCCAGCATTCGGGTATATGAGGATCAATTGGGGAATACTAACAACAACAACAACAACAAAACCAAAAAACAAACAAACAAAAAATCCCACACTTCCTGACCCTCCTCCTAGATCTGGTGAATAAAAAAATGTAGCTGGGCTTAGCTCTTCTACGTTTTAAAGCAATTCCCAAGCAAGTCTGATCCAAGGATTACATTTGGAACACACAGTTTTCTCAGTGTTCTCAGACACCTTGCTCCATGGATGGCATCCTTTCCTCAGCTCACTGAATGGCTTTCTGCCCCGGCTCTCCAGGCGTCATCTTGAAATTGCCAGTCTATATGACATCTTTATCTTGCTATTAGGAATATTGTCAGGGTGCTTAGTACCCCCACCCTCACCCCCAGGGTCCACCTCTCTGTGGCTTCATCCTATTGGTCAAACACTACTTGTCCTTAAAGCACTGTGTGCTTCTCTTTTGTCCTGTTTTAGAAATTCATTCTATGGGTTTAGAATAAATTTAGGTTAATTTCAGTGAGTGTAGATAAAGTATGATGTTATGAAATAACACATGCCCAATGTGGGCATCTTGGAAAACACAGGAAAAGAGGTGGAGAGAAAAGATTTGCTGTTTCATTAAGGTTCTGGGGATTTCTTTTTAAAACCCAGCTGCCTCAAACTTAAAATTCATAGCAAAATGACCTGCCCTTAGAAGCAGTAGCATATACGATATTGCACATAATAAGAAAAAAGAAATTTTCTGCAAAATATATGCTTCAGGAAAAATGCTGGTAATTTTTTTTTTATAAAAACTAAACAGGTTTTTATAAAAATCAAACAAGTTTTCTCATGTGCTGCTTGTAATTCAAATCATATTTAGTTTTCATCTCAGCTTCTCAAATTTTGTAATAAATTCTTCCTTGGAGATAATCATTTATTTCCCTCATTTTTATTAGCAGAGTATATGGGCACTTAGTAATAGCTTTAACATTCACATTAGTGTGACTCTGTAGTCTTGAGTTTATATAGTAGGTAATAAGCAATCTATTGAAAATATCCTTTTTGTTCTTCCTATATGTCTCCAAATTTATTTGTTTAAAAGATATTGTACAGATGTCCAGTAAGAACCCCCTTCCACATATACCCCAATGCTTCTGGGGTCTTTTTATGAATGAGTCTAAGCTACTTGTCTCCTTTATTGAATAATCTTCAATGGCACTATTAATCCCTTGCTGCATGCCAAGTATTGTCCTTGATGATTTATGTTTGCTAGCCTGTATGATCCAACAATTCATTTGATAGATGTTAAAAAACAAGACATTAAGTAACTCCATATTCAGAAAATTAAAAAGAAAGTACTGGAGTCCCAGTCAGTATGACTACTAACTTTATTTTCACACATAATGATAAGATTTATTGGTTTAGTTTACAAATTGAGTTTAAGCTCTTTAGTCTGGTCTTTTTGGAAAGCTTTACAGACCTGATCTGTACATGTCAAGTCAATGAGCCCCATCTGTAATATTTCTGTGGCACAATTGATGTTTATGATACTTTAAAAGTGAGTTGCTTAGTAGCCTAGGGTGACCCAAATCAAATGGTTGTGGCTTACATGCAGCCAAACTATATAATAGGCATAATAACAAGGATAATTTTTTCCCAAATCAGTTTAACTGACAGATGGTTGCAACACTGGTTTTAAACTCTGGTAGATTTCTACCATAGCATTGTATTTCACTCTGAATTTCTTGGTTTTATTTTCTAGGGAGGTGCATTTGTTGAAATCTTTAGTGCTCAGGGGAAAAATCCTGGAGCAAAATGGAAGATCTTTGGCAGTCCATCTGTGATTTGGAAAGTAAGTGTTTGAAGTTAAGTGTCAAACCCTGGGAAGGACTGTGAGGGAAGGTCATAGAAAAGGGGGCTCGATCAGACTTCAGAACTGATTTTCTTTTCTTTCACCCGCAAAGGCTTTGTGTTGTTGTCTGCAGTCCACCCCCAACTCCCCCCCGCGCCCGAGACACCACTCCTTAGCTGGTTAAGACTGCCACATGGTGTATAACTGCTGAGTGTACTCTGAGCCCTGCTTTATCATTTTAGGTGATTTGATGTCAGTGAAGAGCATCTCTCTAAGGACTAGGCCTCTGGGTTTCTTGATTTCATCATCTTTAATGACATCTTCTCATTCTGCTGCAGCCTTATTTTCACGACCAACAGCAGGACCTCTGAAATTACAAGTGAGAGACAGAGACGTCTTTCACTGACCTCAGTCTTGGATTCGTAAGGCCACTTGCTCAGTCCTCCCACTGTGTGTGTTCTTGAGTCGGATTGTTCTTCAGGCCACATCCTTTTCTGTTCCCCCTTGTGTTTAGTTTTATTTACTTTCTCTGAATTCTCATCTCTCTCTCCAGTGCAGAAACTGAAGTGTCATTTCACCCGCTTTCCAGTAAGGACCTCGAATGCCTTGGCTCTTTAGCCTAACATGACGCTTGCCTAGTCAGCCTGTGTGGGATCCCTGGTCTTTCCTTTGCCTGTCCCTGGGCTCTCAGTACTTTTGGAGAAAATACCTACAGTTTTCAGGTTGATAACACTATAAATCCAACCTCAACAGTCCAGAAAATTGTCCTGTTATATTCTTGTCAGTATCCAAAATGATCCTTTCATGTCATTTTTGGTTTCCAACCACTGAACTGCCTACTCTCAGCCCCACACCCAAGGCATGCCTTTCTCACTCATCAGAAGCAGACACCCCCACTTCCCAGGGAAAACAGGAGCCATTAGGCGGAAGCCAGTTCCACTTGCTGCCACCATACCTGAAAACCTGTCTCCATCTCCATCGATACCTTTTTCTCTCTTGTAGAAGCAAGAGCTGAATGCCTTCAGGAGAATAAGAACACCTATAGATGAAACTTACAACTACTATTGAGTGCCTAATGTTTGTTAAGCATAACATTAGGCATATTACATAATGTTATATAATATGAATAGCTTTGTGAGATAGATAGCTACATGCCCCTCTGATAGGTAAGAACATTAAGTCATGGAAAAGACAAGGATCAAAACTGTACAGTATGAATGACAGAGAAATGGTACTCAGAGAATATGTGCCAGAGAGGCTTCCCTGAGTAAGTGGCATTGAGTTCTGTTATAGTTTGAATATAAAATGTGCCCCCACAGACTCAGATGTTTGAATACTTGCTCCCAAACTGGTGGTGCTATCTTGAGAGGTTGTAGAAACTTCAGGAGGTGGGGCCAAGTTGTAGGAAGTGAATCATGGGTCCTGGGCATCTAAAGGTTGTGCTTGGCCCCAGGTTCCATTCCTTACACTCCTTCCTATCTCCCATGAAGAAGCTCTTCCACCAATGCTGCCACCACTGGGATATTTTGCCCAGGTTCATGGGGCCAAGGAACTGTGGATTGAAATATTTGAAACCCTGACCTTAAAATAAATATTATTGTGCTTTCAGTTCTTTATGTTGACTCCTCACAGCTTCCCAAAGTAACTAACATAAGTGCTAAGAGTCAGCCAGGCATAAAGAGAGGTTGCTGCACGGAAGAGCATTCCACAAAGGGAGTAGTATGAACAAAATCCCTGTATCAGAAGAAAGTTTGGAACTTTCAAAAAAATGGGAAAGCTGTTGTTGTTCAGAGGAGGAGATTAAGTTTGAAGAGCTGGGTAGAGACCAGCATATCTAAGTGCTTTGTGACTTGCTGCAGGTTTGGGCAGGCCCAACATGTGCTTAAATAAAATAAATAATATACTTGGTACATGTATGTTCATCGCAAATACATAGGGGATGTGATTACAATGGACATTACATGGACTTATTACAGAAAAAGAAAAAATTAATTTTTATTTATTAAACGGGAGGCAGAGGCAGGCGGATCTTTGTGAGTTCAAGGCCAGCCTGGGCTACCAAGTGAGTTCCAGGAAAGGCACAAAGCTACACAGAGAAACCCTGTCTCGAAAAACCAAAAAAAAAAGGAAAAAAAAAAAGATTTATTTTTATGTTTATGTTTGTGTCTGTGTGAGTATATGCCACCCATGAGGGTGCTCATGGAGGCAAGAGGACAACATCTGATGCTCTGGGGTGGAGACATAGATGGTTGTGAGCTGTCCAGCGTAGGTTCTAGGAACTAAACTTGAATCTTCTAGAAGAGCAACAAGTGCTCTTAACTGCTTAACTCCAGCCCCTTAACTTAACTTTCTAGATAACCATAATTGTTTCATTTAATTCATATTGATTTTAAATATATATGGAATTTTCAGAGTCACAGAAGATATGAAATAATACATAATTAATTCCATTTGAGCTATGGCCTGAAAGCAAAAAACTTCTAGTATGAATTCAGCAGGAGTTAGATACTTTCTTCTGCTATGCAGGGAGTGGTGATGAGCTGTGCACCTAGATGGGATTGCATACAGGCAGCAAGAAGCTACTATACCCAGAACCAGTGAGTTACTTTGGAATCCCTGAAGTTAGAAAACTTTTTTTCATTTGGAGGAAAGATATTTTCATATAATAAGAAATTAGCTGTGTGGCTAGTGTGGTTTTGTGTTCCATTCCCAACAAGTCTCAAGAAAAAGCATCAGAATTTGAGTCTTATTTTTAAGTCTTTTGTTAAAAAAAAAAAAAAGACTAAAAGACTTGTTTTTCTGGAAATTTGCAGTTCCAATTTTTATGGAAGAAGCCAAATAAGATATGCTTCAATTACTGCTGTTTTTATTTTGTCCCATAGGAGTTTGATAAAGAAGTTAAAAGTTTTGTATTTATCCTGGAAGGCAGCAGCCAAACCAACAGAATTCAGTTACCAAAGGAGAATAAGCAAATACGTGAGTAAGACTTCTTTTCAGTGTTTGAAAAAATTATGTTTTGTGTCTTAGAAGCAGGCAAATGAGTAGGGCTGGGGTGAGATCTCCCAGTGTGAAGTCATCTGGTATTTTATATAGAAATCAACTGTATGCCATGTACTTTAGGAAAATAGCCTCCCTCACTATCTTCTTTAAGTTTAGAACTATTTTAAGTCCTGGAAGATTATTTTAGTAGCCACTTATTATAGTAGTATTTGTTGAGCACTAATTTTATATGAGGGATTTTTCACAGTGTTTCTTTACAGATGAGCAAAGAAACATTGGGTTTTTATTAGAAAATCAGGTGGTTAAGGCAAAGTTTCAACAGGAATTCAAGAATTTATAAGTTAGAAGAACATTTTTTTTTTTTTTTTGGTTTTTTCGAGACAGGGTTTCTCTGCGTAGCTTTGCGCCTTTCCTGGAACTCACTTGGTAGCCCAGGCTGGCCTCGAACTCGCAGAGATCGGCCTGCCTCTGCCTCCCGAGTGCTGGGATTAAAGGCGTGCGCCACCACCGCCCGGCTTAGAAGAACATTTTTTAAAAGAACAAAAATAATAAAAAAATTGCACAAGATATTATTAGTAACAATAAGTGATAAACCTCTAGGGAACATTAATATCTAAGAAGTGTAGATATGTTATTTCGCAGACAGCTGCAGGCTTAATTCCAGTATGAAAATTAGCAGCAGCATTTCAAAGCAGACAGAACAACGTGAGGTTGGACTTTAAGGCTCTATCATCAGATTAAGCTTTCAATAAAGTGATTAATTTGAGTAATGTATAAATATAATCAAACTTTTCCACTAACTATGTCTTACTGGTTAAACATAGAGTTCTGATATTTTGTAGAAATAAATAGGCAGTTCTTTTTTGTGTTTGTCATTTACTTTGTCTTCATTCATTAAGAATATTTATTAGAGGGTTGCAGATAAAGCCGAGTGATCGAGCATTACCTAGCAGGCTCACAGGCCTCGGTTCAATTCCTAGCAACATAAATAAAACATATTTTAAAAAAATGTGTATTAAGTACCTTCTATGTACCAGGCACTGTGGAAAGACCTGTTGTTGGTACCTGATTTCTAATTTTAATTTCCTTTGTAAACTGTATAGATCCTAGGCTTTATGTACCATTTTAAGCACTATGTGACATTTTAAATTTCTAAGATGTAAATCAAGCCATGCAAATTAGGGATGGAAGATGATTTAATTTAAACTGTTTTGCCACTGTTTCTTTATAAACTAAGAAATCAACCTTGAAAGAGAATAGATAATTATTGTTAAAAGTTTTAAATTAATTTGCTGCCACAAGGAAATATGGCTTCCTCATAGTTCCTAATTGGGTATATGATTGATAGCAGAATATTTTGTTGTTGTTTTTTATTTTCATATATATTTGTATTTGTAAGTAAAGTGTACTAAAATAAGTCAGGGAAGCATATCTGAAATTGTAGTTTTTTATATGAGAGATGTGTTCATCTATTTTGGGATATTGACTTTATGAAACAGTTATGTTCCAGGAACTTGACTATTAGAAGCTGGTTAGTCTTTTTTGCCCTTATTTTTTGGCTTGTACAGACAATCTAAACGCCTGCCTTCTAGTGCCCTCGGCATCTGTGCCCATGGTCATGGTATTGATGAAATCCGTCAGTCCTAGCAGCCTTCTCATTTTGGCTCTGAGAAAGATTCCTCCTTTACCAAAGTGACTAAATACAGACTCCTGATCCCCCTTTCTACTCTTATTCAGGTTTTTGGGTTTTTTCTTCCTTTCCTCAGAAACTGGGTTTAATGTGTTATAATTACCTCTTTAAATGTGACAATGATGACTTTTAATTAAAGAAACAGAAGAATCTTCTAATATGTTTCTTACACAATGCCCTACAGTTAAAAATTAATCTGGCTTTCCCATAGCATGTGCAACAGTATAACAAATGAAATAGTTTGTGTGGTCTCCCTGTCACTAATGCCTTCACGTGAGCTTTTTGGATGTTTTGATAACAAAGTTGGTTGTTATTTTTACTTGTATAAAATGACCTTCTGTGTGAGGTTGGTATGGTTAAACTGAAATTAAAAAGCATGCCTTGAATTGAAAAGTGGCTTTCAATTAACACTTAAATTAAGTTCAATTATCATTACATATTTCTATTTTAAGAGTTAATATATACTTTATGCAAACTTGACATTACATAGTTCATTTGTGTTTCTGACTATATTAGATGCTTATGAAGAAAGTTTCATAATGAAATTATGTATGTTTGACTGCTCCTAAATAGTAATCTTTCTGAATTAAATTGTATTTGATGAGTCCTAAGTAAATAAATCAGTTGTGTTTTTAATTTGTTGTTACATTTATTTATTATTGTGTGAGTGTCTTCATGCACCATGGTTTACATGAGGGTCAGAAGACAACTTGTGGGAGTCAGTTCTGTCTCATCATGTGGATTCTGGGAATGAACTTATGTCAGCTTGGCAAGCAAATGCACTCACCTGCTGAGGCATCCTCTGTGCCCTGTGTTTTCTGTTGTTGTTTCTTTATAACCTAATATAAGAAATCAACCTTGAAAGGGAATAATTATTATTAAAAAATTTAATTAATTTGCTGCCATAAGTGAACTTCCTCATAACTAAAAAGTTTTCTGAAACATGATAATAAGTTTCTCTGCCAATGCAGTAAGCCAGATCAAACCCAATTGATAAAGCAAAAGAACAGGTATATTTGAGCAAATCAACTCCCAGTTGAGCCCCCCCAACCCCAGAGATTGGGGCCAGAGAAGTCACGTGGCCAAAGTAAAGCAGGGAGCATATATACCCTGTAGGTGAGGGGTGATGATGTGTCCCCCACAAGCTGAGTTTGTGCCCAAATATGGTCAAAAACTGACTGCTTTAGATGGGGTCTTGGGCTACTGGCAAATTTAGAGGAGGAGCTGTCACAGCTACTAAGAATGTGGAACTGGGCCTTTTGATGCCTCTTCTTTGTTGGAGATTCTCGGGGGTGGGGGGTGGGGTGGAGAGAGAGGAATGGGGCTTTCCGGATCAAGCAGGAATGAGCTGGAAGTTCCAGCTGAAAAATAGCTCCATCGTAGTTCCGTGTTGGATATGTGTCACATGGTGCTTGAAATGGCACATAAAGCCTAGGCTTTACAAAGGAAATTAAAACTAGAAATCATTTTCCAACAGCAGGTCTTTCTACAGTCTGGTGCATGGAAGGTACTCGATACATGTTCTTTTTAATATGTTTTATTTATGTAGCTAGGAATTGAACCCAGGCCTTTGAGCCTGCTCGGTAAATAATACCCATCAAATGATGGAGCATGTGACACTTGAGTATCATGTTGTATACTTCTCCAGGGTGTTAGTCAGCTTTGTAACCCCTAACTCAGTGATGACATACAGTTGATGTTCAGATAAGTTTGTTAAATTTGTTACAATAAGGAACTTTGACAATTCTGTTTCTAATTTCTAATTGTAACCATCTGCCCTTGGTAATGACACTTTAGTGTGTCATTCACCAGTACAATAAATCTCTGCCACCCTTCAGCTTGGTTGGTGTTGTATGGAGTTGCCAGTGTGAGAAGCATCACTGTCATACATAAGTATCCAGTAGGGACTTTCTATTCAAGAGTCACATTCAAAGTCGTTGGTTTCCCTGCTGAATTATCTGAATCAAATAGTGTGTGTCCGGCCATCTGTATCCCTGAAGCCTGAGTTCAGCTGTTCTAAAAGATGAAGATGGCTTCTTGTGGTTCCCCCAGCTCTCCTCACTGCTACTTTGCTGTTCTTTTTAAATTATGTCTTGCTCTGTTTAAAGCCCTTAAGTGTCTTTGATCTCACCATTTTTTTAAAGTGCTCTTATCAGAGTGAGTGGTCTTCTGTATTCCTGAACCAGTGGGGGTTCTCAGCTCTCCTCTTCACCCTTGGGAGCATCTGAGACAGCCAGCACCCCCTCGATACACTTCTTTCACTTACCTCCTGGGATTCTTCATCCTACTGTACACTAGGTTGTTGTTAGTTTCTTTTTGCTCTTCCTCTTCGGTTGCCATCTGAATGCTACAGTGACTCTGGTCTTTATGTAGCCCTGTGGCTACATGTTCTCCCTGGTTATCAGCTTCAGGATCATGGATTTTTAATGCCATTTCTGTCTCACTTCAGTCTTCCACATCAGGTATTTACTAGTCTTTTTTCCTGGACCACCTAAGGGTAGTGTATGTAAAACCCAGTTCCTGGCAAGGCTGCTTGTGATTTTTCCCCCTGCCTTTGTTGCTAGCAAACAGCATTCTCTCTTCAACTGACAAGACCAAACTTCTTCATTAAATCAGCTTCTCTATTTCTTTATTCTCTGAATCCATTAAGAAGATATCAGTAGTACTGGGGAAAAGATTGAAAGTTTCCTCACTTCCCACCCTTTAGTATTGCTCTCACCACTCTCTCAGGCCTGGATTATTAGTTACTTTCTATTGGACCTCCTTCTAGTCTGATATCAAATTAGCAGCCAGAGTAGAACTCCTCAATTCTATGTGACATGTGAAACATGTTACCTTCTCCTGGAAAAGGTCCCATTGCTTAAAGTAAAAATAATTTCTCTATGGGAATATATCTGTCTGAGTGCCTCTTAATTCTCTGGCTTTCTCTCTCATTGCTCCTCCTCTGGCCTTCCTTCCACCCATTCAAGGCCATTGCTGTTTTGAACCCAGCATGTTCTCCTCTTTTCCAACCTTTACTAAGACGTCACCTTTGAATGAGGCCCACCTGACATGTCCCTAAGTTATACCTGGGCTTCATATTGTTCCCATTTTTCAGTCCATTGGCCCCTTTCCTGCCCTGCTCTTAAACTTTGAACAACACTGAACTGAACATGTGTGTGTTGTTAGTTGTTTTACTGTTTTTCCAGCCATTTTCAGAAAGCAAATTCCACTGATAGAAACTGTTTATTTTGTCTTATTAATCTGTACTGAACAATGCATGACTGAGTGGCTTCCCACTGATTTTAGGTTGGCCCATATCTTTCACCTGGTCTTCAAGGCCCCACATGGCTGGGTTTACAATCTGTTCTTTTCCCTCTGCAGTGCCTTACACCAGCCAACTGAGCATTTTAAGGTTAATTTCAGCTGTTCTGTCCTTATGGACATCCCACATCATCTTAAGAGGAATCCACCTACCATCTATTCCTCTCTCCTATACCTCTACCCCCCTTCCAGTCAATCTCTGCTTATTCTCCCAAGCTCAGTTACTGCATTATTTCTTCAGAACTACTTTTACTGACCATCCCCTTCCCTTCAAGCAACTATAGTTAAATGCTGTCCTAGAACTTTGACCTTCTCTTTTGTGAAACCATATTGCACATTCCAAGAGGGCATAGATTATGATGGTCTTATTTACTGAAAAAAACTTCAGCAAGACTTGTGTACAGCATGTGATCAATAATCTTTGTTAAATGATAAGGCTATTTCTTATAAATGATTCTTTGAGGTACAGATGGAAATGATTAGCCCAGTTTTAGGTATGAAAAGGAAATTAAGAATATGCTAAGGCTGTTTTGAAGTCTTGGAGTAAGTTCATGCTGAGCTTTCTGGGCAGTGAGGGAGAATGATTGTCTGTGGCCTCATCCTACTTCTTAGATGACACAATCCTTGGAAAATGTATGTGAGGTATGCAGTTTGTCATTTGCTCTAATGAAACAACTTTAAAACCACTGCTTAAAATTAATGGTATTTTATAAGTTGAGTATGGTTTTAAATATTTAAAAGAAAAAAAAATGAAGGTTTTGCCACTTAACAAGGAATTTCTATATATTTATGTACTTGATGGCCATTTTTTAAACTAATGAGGCCCATATTCAGTATTACTTAGAGTGATTTTAAATACAATGCAGACATGAAGAGCCAGTTTAAATTTCCTAGGCCAGGGAACCATATATGACAATGGAGTTTATTTAGCATTACTGCCATACAGAACCAGCTTGTCAAATGTTGTTAAAGCACTCTTTGTCATATCATCACCCTTTAGTGTCATCACATGTGAAAGCCTTTTGGAAAGTAGGGCCTAGTGTGTGAGAATGTGGAATGACAGAATTCTTTTTTTTTTTTTTCTTTTTGAGGCAAGAGATATTTCATTTCTAAAAAATGGTCTTTTACATGCATCTCTTTGTGCTTGAAGGAAATAATAATGATTCAGTGAGATTTGTGGCAACTTTTAAAGGGCTGGTGTTCTTGATCTGGTGTTCTCCAAGCTCTATTTACAGCTGAGGCCACTGTGGAAATGGCACTACTCTCCCTACAGGACCAGTCAGTACAAGAGACCAGAGAGGCTGACTGACAGTGGCTTATTTGAGGTGGCCTCATTTTGCTATTTCACTTTGCTTTTGTGGGTCAAAACTCTGGTTGCCACATTGGATCTCTCTATAAATGTAATAGAACACATTCCTAGAGAATTTCCTAGGGTAGAGCCTTTAATCTCCCATTTCTGTTTTGTTTAACTTAGGATTCTCTCTGAACACATTTATATGCTTGATAATTTAAAAGAAGTTATCCTTGTATATTTGATGAACACATTCATGAACATAATATATGTATTTGGCCAGTTATGTTTGTTTATAGAAAAGTTTGTTATAAAAAATAGAAATGGCTTATATTTCTCAGGAATGTTGTAAAACAGCTTACTATAGGAATTACAAACCAGAAAGTCTATATAAAATCATCAAAAGTTATTGTGGGATTAAAATATTTAATTTACTAAGTTTATTACTAGAATAAATAAAACATATCATCACCTTAAATCAGTTGGTTTCCTTAGACTCCTATGTCTGTATATATGGGTGTTTTTTTGTTGTTGTTTTGTTTGTTTATTTTTTGAGTTGTGTGTGCGTGTGTGTGTGTGTGTGTGTGTGTGTGTGTGTGTGTGTTTTCTGGGAATTGAGCCCAGCATTGTACACACTAGGCAAGCATTCCAGCCATAGCTTAGGTGGGCTCTGAACTTGGGGATGAACCTTGAATTCCAGATCTTCCTGCCTCTACTTCCTAAGTGCTGGATTATAGGGAACCACCATCAGACCTGGCTTGGCCAGGTTTTTTTTTTTCTATTTGTTTGTACTTTTGAATTATAGGAGAAGGTCATAGAGAAAGTTATGACATCTTTATTTCATACACAATGGAAAAAATGTTCCTTACCTGTGTATTTTGGGAGATGTGATCCTTGTGAGTTTTTGTTGCTGTTTTCTATTTCATCGAGGATTGAACCCAGAACCTTCTATGTGCCTTGCCTGGCAAAGTTCTTCTACAGTCCACCTATACCAACCCCTACCTTAGAAGGGGTGACACTAACACGTCTGTCAAAAGCATCATAAATGGAGAGATCAATCAAAAGTTCAAAACCTTAGAGGGAATGACTTAAGAGACTGGATGTAGAGAAACAGTATAAAAATCAAGTAACTTTGTTTAAGCTGTTGTAGACTTACAACTATCAAAAATGCCATGTGTGTTGGTTTTTCTCATTTTTTTAATCTGCATGAAATTAGTGATAGGGAACAAAAGCTATCATTTCTGAGTGAGAATTAATTAAGAACGTGGTAACAAATTTATAAGTGAAACTATGTTCCTCCATCCAGCTAAGTGTGGACATTGTTAAGACCGCATGACCAAGCTCTGCTTCATAAGCTTTCAGTTGTAGTTGTCATAATTAGAATTGCTTTTCTTGAGCTGCTCTTCTTTATTGAGTTGTTTAGTAAGACTATAAAACCTGTCAGAGAATAAAAATAATTGCCACATGTTTTTATGACTACCCTGATGGGAATCCATAGTTCAATTTTATACGTGTATGTGGAGTGCAGTTCCATGCTGACATTCTCTTATGGCATAATGAGTGAATAAAAATCCTTTTTTTTTTTTTGATTTTCATAAAAAATTCACCAGTGCCACAGATGGAATTTTACAGTGCAGCGTGAGTTGAAGTTTGATTCAGCTGTCATCAATGTCTCCACCTTTATACTCGGGTTGTTAATCATAGACAGTGCACTGTATGCCTTTCTGCTCCTGAAGTGCTGGATCCGCAGCCTGCTGGAGCACTCACTGTTTGTGTGCACATGTAAGAGGCCTGAACAGTTCATTTTGTGTTTTTCTCTCTTCTAGTTGGACTGATCCAGAGGTTTCTTGTACTTCAGATTTACATACCCCTGGGACAGGACTTCTCCACTGAATTACTGTAAGATATATAGAACTTCTTCTGAATGTTTTATGTGCATTAGACATTTGATCAATTGAAACAGTGCTAACAGTCATTATTAACAGTGACAGGTTTTTTTTTGTATTAAACAGTAGTGACTTATCAGATTGATATGAAGTAATTAAAATAATTTAGTTGTATTTCTTGGATATTGCTGCACTTTGAAATTTCTTGGGAGAAAGAAAGCAGGTTTCATCTGTTTCAGAACATGCTGTGGGTTATGATTTTATGTTTTTCCTGTTTCTTTGCAGAACTACAGTTGGCTTAACATTGATTGAAAGACATCTTAACACTATTTACTGTAGTTTTGATATATTGGTTCCTTTTGTGTATGTAAAGATAGCTTGGAATATATTTATTTTCAGTGGCCTTACAAGATTGCTTATCAAAAGGTAAAATAAATTACTTATACTCAGTTGAGCTATGTGTTGTGTGAAATACTAGTAATAAAAATAACATTTAATTTGTAATTTCATACAATATTGAGTATTTTCTAAGATTTTGTTGCTTAATTTCTGTATTGTTTGGTTTTTAATTAAAAGCTGTACATGGTTCAGGCTTAGGCATTTATCTTCAATCCTGGACAAAAGTTCTAGCTTTATCAGTGTGCAACATAAACTAAAGGAGAGAATGTTCTTAGTAAATGAGTTATTAATTCCTCTCTGTTTACATAAGCTAGGAAAATAGTGATTCTTGGGTTGTTAAAAGTCTGAATTTTATCTTATGAGGTACAGCCTTGTTTGTTTAGATAAAACATAGATGGAACACCATACACTTTTGTTTTATTCAACCTTAAGCCCCCGTGAACTTGTAAGATCTTCTTTTATCAGCTTCCATAGCCACCACCAATCTTAAAATACTTCTTAGAGAGAGAAGACCAAAGCATCATTTGATGCTCTTCTGTACCACTTCCTGGTCTCTGCAGAAAAAAGTATTTTCAAGACTCAAAGGGCATTCTGAAGGCACAGAAAGTACCACTGAAAGCTTTATTTTCAGCACAGGAGAATGTGATTTCTGAATTGAAAGAAGGCAAATTATGTTTTAAACTTTAAAGCTCTTTACATAAAAATCCAGTTTTGCTCCCCCTTTTACCTGGATCTCACCATAACCCATACTTTGAGCTTCTTCAAAGCAGTGGTAAAGGTGTTCCTAGTTGACCTTTGGATTAGAGGCCTTTGAGACCCTTGGATGGTCTTTAGAATGGGATACCTTGCCAATGACACGTCTTTTTTCTTTGCAAAATTAAGACTGTGCCCAAATGTTTGAGCATATCACTCTAGCCTAGACAATAGACTGTCTTAGTTAATTTAATGGCAATTAAAGCTTTAGTTATTGAGAAACCAACAGGTATCCTTAACCTGCTCCTAGCAGGAGAAAAGCTGATACCTAAATAAACCCAACTATTCTTTGCTATCACATTGCTAGTGCCTTTGGCCTGTTTGAGTATGGGAAACATTTTTGGCATTAATGATTAGATTGTAAATGTGGTTCACTATAATCCTTGATTTCTATGTTCTTGTGTCCCCATGGAAGATGAGTTGATTTTATAAATGATTTTGGTTTTATAATGCTAGGAAAATAAATTCTTCTGGACCAAAAGGTTAAAATTTTTAAATGACATGGATGAGACTCTCTCTGTCAGTTTATCATATATGAACTTGAATTTGTTACTGATAGTCAAATAGTTGTTTCATGCAGAAATGACAGAGATCATGTTTTCAGCAAAAAGAAGATGATAAGTATAGATTTTTGTTCTAACACATTTTCCTTCTACCTTAAAGGAAAGGACTTTCTTTCAGTACCCTTCTTGTACTGTTCCTAGCAGCATAGCCCTAGGCTATTTTAAATAATACATTTCTCTAACAAGATTGGAAAGTCACCTAACAGAACCATATCTGGCTTCTCAATTTCTCCATTGTTAGAGCAGAGAAAGGCATTTTGTTTCTCAAAGGTTTTTGCTATACATCAAGAGATTTTCACGAGTGGAGCTAATTTAGGAGCCAGCTAGTTTAGGAGTTTAGCAGTCATTTCTTCAGCCTCTTCCTATGTCTTTTATGCTCTCTGAATGAGTTATTGTGCTGAGGAAGAGGTTTTATATGTGTGTTAGGTATTTAGAACCAGTAGCTGCTCATATTGAGGACCAGGCAGTATGGTCCCTTGGGGATTTGAAATACCTTGAATCTGTGAATGCTATATTTCCCACTTCCAAAACACCATCACTGTTGACCTGGTTGTTCCAGATTTTCTCTGGATTCCCCAGCTTCCTCCTCATCTTAGTTGTGGTTTCTATTGCTGTGAAGAAACACCATGACCACAGCAACTCTTATAAAGGAAAACATTTAATTTGGGCTGGTTTACAGTTTCAAAAATTTAGCCCATTATTTTCATGTAGCATGCAAGCAGATATGGTTCTGGAAAGGAGCTGAGAGTTCTACATCTTGATCCACAGTGTAGCTTGAGTATAGGAAATCTCAAAGCCCACCTCCAAAGTGACACACTTCCTTCAACAAGGCCAAACCCCTTAATAGTGCCACTAGCTGTGGGAGCCATTTTCTTTCAAACCACCACATTCTACTACCTGGCTTCTATAGGCTTGTAGCTGTGTCATAGCAAAAATGCATTCAGTCCAACTTCAAAAGTTTTCCATAGTCTATAACAGTTTTAAACTTATTTAAAGGTCTAAAATTTGAAGTCTCTTCTGAGATTCATGCAATCCCCTAACTGTAATCCCCTGTAAAATCAAAATCAGGAAGCAGATCACATACTTCAACATATAATGGCAGAGGATATATATTACCATTCCAAAATATAGGGAAGGGAGCATAGTGAGGAAATGCTGGACCAAAGCAAGACTGAAAACTAGCTGAGCAAATGGCAAACTCTGCTTCTCCATGTCTGATGTCAAAGTGCTCTTCAGATCTCCAACTCCTTTCAGCTTTGTTGACTGCAGCATGCTTCTTTCTCTTGGGCTGTTTGGTATCCCATGACTCTAGCATCTCCATCATCTTGTGTCTCCAAGGCAATCCAAGCTTCACCTTCACAACTTCACACAATGGCCTCTCTAGGCCTCCATTCAAGGACACCTCTGACACATGCCTGGCCTCAGCAGTTTTCCTTGGTTACTTTTTGACTCAAAAGCCAGAACAACTCAGCTGAAGCTGCCAAGTTCTGCTCCTTACTGTACCTGGAACCTGCCCCCTCATTCAATTACATCTTTACCAGCTTTCTGTTTTTGATGGTTTCCTACATTGCCTAAGCTTAGCTGTCCTGAATCTTCAGCGACAGACCAGGCTTGACTCAAACTCCGACGTACACCTGCCTCTACCTTCCCAGTGCTAGAATTAAAGGCATGTACTACCACACCTGGCTTTAGGCTTTTCTTTAATTGTTTTCACAAGTTGGAAATGTAGTTGGGTGGGATTTTGCTTGAGGTCATCACTCCCTTTATCCCATTTCCTAATCTGTTTATCTCCTTGCTAGTGCTTCTTTTCTCTTCAAATTTTACATTTTTATTTTTTCTTGTTCAGCTTGCTTCTTTCATTATAAATCTTCATTAGAGTTAACACTAGTAACTACAGGACAAAGTCTATTCTACCAACAGAATTAATCCAAAACTTCACTTTAGCCTCAGGCAAACTTTGGACAAGGGCAAAAAGCAGCCATATTCTTCACCAAAATACCACAAGAACAATCTCTAGGTAATACACTAAAATTCTTCTCTGAAATTTCTTGAGCCAGGCCCCCACAATTCAAAATACTCTCATTACCACTCTCTTCCATGCTCCTACTAGTAATGCCCATTAAGCAGCACTTAAAGCATCCCACTGCTTTCCTCACCCAAACCCCCAAAGTCCAAACTCCTTCAAACAAAAGCATGGTAAGGACTTTCACAACAATACTCAAGTCCCTGGTACCAGCTTGTCTTAGGGTTTCAATTACTGTGAAGAGACACCATGACCAAGGTAACTCTTAAAGGAAAACATTTAATTTGGGCTGGCTTACAGTTTCATTTAGTCCATTATCTTCATGAAGCATGCAGGCAGACATGGTGCTAGAGAAGGAGCTGAGAGTTGTACATCCTGATCTACAGGCAGCAAGAAGTGAACTGAGTGCCACACTGTGCATATCTTGAGCATAGGAGACCTCAAAGCCCACCTCCACAGTAACACACTTCCTCCAACAAAGCTATACCCCCTGATAGTGCCACTTCCTACAGGGGCCATTTTCTTTCAAGCAACCACGTTCCCTCAACAGTGTCTACACTTCATCTACTGTGAGCTGTCTTAAAAAAAAGAATTTCCACAGGTGAAGTGAGGATAAACCCCAAGTCCTTAATGTTCTTCTCTCCTGTCGTGCACTTCGCTCTGAGTATGTTTCTTGTCAGGTACTGATGTCTTCCTGGCCTCATGCCTCCATCCTTCCTTGATTCCTGTGCACAGTTAGTCTGTCCCCAGCTCTTCCTAGCCAATTCCTTCCTACTCTTAAGAATTCTTCCAGAAGGCTGTTGTTTTGATCCTCCCCTCAAAATAAATGAGATCCATCTCTCAGGCCCTTTCTAGTACCTGCTTGTTTCCTTTATTACAACCCTAAAAGTGCATAATTATTGCCTTGAGAGATAGAGTTTGAGTTCCATGAAGACAAGACCTTGTCTGTGAGATTCAGGATGCTATCCTAGCACTTACCACACAGGGCCTGACTCATAATAGGTTCTGCAGTGTGGGTGAGTGGGCAAGATGGTGGTGGAGTAATGACAGGCAGGATCTAATTGCTACCCTCATACACTGTACTCTGAGGGCAAAAGATCCATTCACATTTTTATAAATGTTATGGTGACACAAGAGTAAGATCTGTGGGGAATGTGAAGTATAAGGTAAGAAAGGATGTGGACAGATCTGTAGTGAAACTTTGGGAGACTTAGGGTAATTATATAATTAATCTCTCCTATGGGATGAGAGTAATAATACCTCACAGGTGCATCA